GGGGAGGGGGGTGGGGGTGAGCAGCAAAGCTGGAAAGGAGCTGCCAGATCTCGGCATCCATCCTCCTCTGGGCCTCGTCCACCTGGGGACCAGGAGAGGAAGGACAGAGGAAGGAGCAGAGAGGAACAGGAAGGGTGCCACGAGGCTCTGTCCTCCCCTGGCTGCACCAGGCCCAGCCAGCCACCTGACGCTCGGGCCTTGTGCCCCCCACCCTTTGCTCCTCATGAGCCGAATGGGGCTATCCCAGGATGGGCCAAGGTGACTATGGGCCCTGACAGTGGAGAGAAGCCCATATAGGGGGTGCACCCGGCAAGAGAAGGGCAGACCCAGAGGCATCCGTGTGAAGGAAGTGCTCCTTGGGCCTCACTCGCTGTGAGAGTACCCATGATGCAAGACCAAGCCACTCATGGCTCTGGAAAGTTTCCCAAGGACAACACTAGAATGGATTGGGCATCGGGCTGGGGCCTGGTCTGGCATGACAAAAAAATGGCTCAGAAAGGCCAGGGCCTCGGCTCAAGGCTCCTGCTTAGACTACATTCTCTGGCCTCTTCCCTGGGGCCCCTGACACAGACTGTTCAAGCCAGGCCCTGAGTTACCTGTGAGAGCCGCTGTGCTGGGCCCCTGCCCTCTGGGGGTCCTGGGATTCTCCCAGTAGACACAGCTACCCGCAACTGCTCCTCTGAGAGGGATGTGCGGTTCTGATGGGTGGAGGGCATAGGCCAGCTCAGACATCCCAGGGCCCCAGAGCTGGAGCCCTGGAGAGTGTCCTCTCCCCGTGGATATGATGGCCAGAAAGGCTCACACTGATTGAGGAGAAAGGCGCATGCTCCTCTCTCCAGGCTGGCACACAGGGATTAAGTTAGCTCTAGGCTGCTAGAGGGGCACACACACAGAGGGTTGATGGAGGCTGTTTGGGAGGCAGTGCTGGGACAACCTGGGGGCCAGATATAGTCATGCGGCTTTTAGCACTGAGTTAGTTTCCCTGCCACCTCAGCCACCACTCTGGCCACAGACAGTTGGCACCAGAACTGACCACACAGCAGATGAGGCACACACCCTTCCTGACTCTAACTCCCAGCATCACAGGGGCTGGGGCACAGCAGTGAGCTGACTGTGGAGCCATCGGGCACTACCTGGCTTCATGCAGACCCACACTGCCTTGGGCACTGGGCATCTCCCCATGCGGGGCTGAGGGCATCCAAGGACACACTATGCCCATGCCACATCAACTTCACACCACTGAGATCACAGGCCTACCTGGTGAGCCCGGCGCATTCGCGCAAAATATGCCTCCCTCTGTGGGGCATAGGGAAATGACAGGAGAGGGAGTCAAAGAGAGAGGTCTGGGAACTGCAGGACAGGGCAGCAGGGAGGCAGACAGGGAGGCTGGGAGAGGAGGAACCCAAGAAGGGAGAAGGGACTAGAAGGCAGCCACCCCTGGGAGGAGGCTGGGATACTTGGGTCTGTCCAAGGAACAGGGACAGGGCAGTCTCAGGACTCCCCCTCCTAAGTGTCCCTGATCTCTTTGGGACCCTAGATAAGGGGACACATCTGCTTGAACACCAGCCTTAGCCAGCAGAGGACTCCTGGACCAAGACCTCCTTTCCCTGGGTGCCACCAGATGACCTTAACTATCCAAGGAACACTTTTGGGCAGGCTGCCCTGGAGCCTGCCCCTAAGACCCTGTGCTGCATAGTATCACCGTCACCATCACCAGCACCTCCCCACTAGACCATGACTCTGGAGTAGCAAAGGCATGTTCATGTCTGACTAGTGTAGTTAAGGGTGGTTTCAGACCGGGACTTGAATCCCAGCATGGTCACCTTCTGGCTGTGGGAGCTCAGGCAAGTTACCTAACCTCTCTCACCTTAGTTTCCTCACTGGTGAAATAGGGCAGTAGGAGCTCATACAGCTGTGACTTGTGATATGTAAATAAGTGCTTGGAACAGTGCTGAGCACGGAGTAAGAGCTTAATAAATATGACCTATCATAAGAATTATTACTGTACCCAACACCAAGCACAGAGCCGGCAGCACAGGTGAATTCTGAGTGAGCAAATGAACGAAACTGAAACTGTCTCCTCTGTCCTTGTTTTGAAGGCCTCGTTCAGGACCTCACTGCATGGAAGCTAAGAATCATGAACAGGAGAGTACTTACTATGTGCCAGGCATGATCTCCAATCCTCCCAGCCACCCTGGAGCTGAGGTTTATTAAAAGGCAGCCAGTTGGTAAGTGGTAAGGTTTAGACTGAGGCCTATCTGACCCCAAGGGCTGTGCACTTAACTACGATGTGGTTGACACCTGCCTGCCAGCTCAGACTGCTCTGAGGTCAAATTGAGTCTGAGTCCCCACTGGCTCCAGGGCTCAGCAGGGGCCTGGCCCAAAGCTGACAACCGGGGAGGGCCTGCCAGCCCCTGAAGCGTGTCATACCTTGTCTCCCTGGTATATCTCCGGCAGCTGCCAGTAGAAGGACTCGTGGCCAAGTTGGGCGAAGTTGCCAAAAGAGAGCTGGGTACCCTCAGGCACGGGTTCCACAGTGAAGCCTCCCATCAGGCGGCTGTTCCGCTGTGGATTCACCAGGGCAAAGCCTTGGAAGTCCCCAGGGGCAAAGCGGGTAGAGATCTAGAAGCAGGAGGGTGTATGTCAGCTTGGGCACTGGGGCTGGCCCCTTGGTGGGGGAAGGGCAGGGGAAGGCAGGAGGGAAAGTAATGGGGATGGCCGAGATCAGGGCTGGGACAGAAACAATAAAGGAAAAGGAGGGATTGGGCCCAGTGCTGACATAAGCAATAATGGGGCCATGGGGAGTATTAGGGCAGGGGCGAGGGTTGCTGGGATCTGTGCTTAAACAGGCAATAATGGGGGCATGGACATAGGGGTCCTCATAGACAGTGGGGACGCCAATGGGCCAGGCTTCTGCCTTGGTGCCGGGGTGTGCACAGGCTCTTACCAGGTGGCGGGTATAGGAGGAGCTGGCACACTGCTGGGTGATGCCCATGCAGAAGCAGGGCAGGCAGCCGTCCGGGTTGCTGGCACTCAGGTGGAAGTGGTGGGGCCGGCAGTGGCTGCAGGTGAGGCCTTCCACCCGGGCCTGGGAAGATGGGTGAAAAGGTGGGTGCAGGGAGCTAGTCTGGGTCTCTTGCACCTCCAGCCGCCTGTGAGGCCAGTCTTCCCAGTCATTTCCAGCAGTTCTAGAAGTCCCTTTGGTCCCCATGCCTAGGCCCAGCTTCCATCAGCTGCTGCCTGACTTCCCACCAGCCTCGAAGCAGTGGGGCTGAGAGGGGCCCTCTTGGGGAAGGTGGCTGGGGAACAGGCACACACCCAAGGGTACGGTGAGAGAGAAGGCCTGGCAACCGCTGTGGCTGCAGGTCAGGGCCTCATAAAGGGCAGGGTTTGGACTAACCTTGCACTGGCATTGGCCAGCAGCGTCACACTGGCTGCTGACGCTGCCCTGGGGGTCACAGCCACAGCCGATCGGCTCTGGCATTTGGCCGTCTCCTGTGGTGGAGGGAAGCCACAGCTGGAATCCCACCACCAAGCACTCCCATTTCTCTCACTCCCTGGTCACCTAACTCACCACTGAGAGAGGGAGTGTTTATTTCTCCACGCCCACAACGTGTAGGCCTTTTACACATTCACAGCAGCCCTCTGGGAGGGGCGTGCCTTTACTATCACCATTTTACAGGTGAAGAAGCTGAGGCTCAGAAAGGGAAGGTCACCTGCCCCAGGTGGAAGTAGAGCAAAGGCTGTGTTCTAGTCACCCCTGGGGGAGACTGGGCAGCCCAACCCCAAAGGCCTCCCCAGCCTTACTCACTTCGGCATGGCTGGCCTTGGCTGGGATTGCCATAGTAACCTGGGGCACACCTACAGAGAGAGAAAGCACTGGATGAATGGAGGGCAGAACTACAGAATCCTGGTGAGCACGCAGTGAGCCAGGGATCAACGACCTCCCAGCGCTGGAAGGAACCAATCAGCCTCTCACCCATTTTATAGACGGGAAACAGCTGGGAGAAGAGCAGGTGCATGCCCTAAGAATTATTGTTGTGCCCAAACACAGAGCCAGTGTAGTTAGCATGATCAGGCCTCGAGCCTACAACTTTCACAAGGTGAGGGGTTTTCTGGGAAGACTCTGGCCTGCCTGGGGCAGGGGGTGCTGGGGTTTGAGGTGAAATGCAATCCCAGATCTCTCAGGACCTCAAATGGCAGCCTCAAGGTTGAGGCTCTCAGGGAAGGGAGCTGATCATCTTCTGGAGGCTTGCGTACTGTGAGTGGGAGGCTTCTGGTTCCTCTAGGTCAGGAGGACTGGGCCCAGCCTAACTCCAGGGACAGCCCCTCCTGCATGCTACCCACCCTGCCGATCACTGGCCTCACCTCTCACAGTGACGCCCACTGTGGCCTGGGGAGCATGAGTCACAGGTAGGGTGGCCATCTGTGTCCAAAAAGCAAGTATGGGTGGCCCTGAGAGTGTGGGGGCAAATTTCCAGTTAGAAGGTCAGCATCAACTCCTTCAGGACCAGGGGAGAAGGGAGAGGAAGGGCAGGCACATGAACTAACACATTTTGAGTGGCAGCCATGTACCAGGCACTTTTCTAAGAGCGCCATGTGCGTCATCTCATTCAATCCTTACACAAGGAAACAAGGCAAAGTACATCATTACCCCCATTTCACAGATGAGGAAGTTGAGCCCCAGAGAGGGAAGTGTATCATACCTTAAAAAGACACACTGAGGAAGCGGTAAGGCCAGGATTTAACCACTGCCTTTCAGAAGGGCCTGGGAGGAAGGGAGTCTGGGAGGGGCCAGTGGACATTTCAGGAAAGGGCAGGTATAGGGAGGGAGTGGACGCACTGGCCAGCAGAGGGGGGTCCATAGCATGGGCATGGCTGGCAGTCGTGCGGTGTCCCTCGTTGGGCATCCCCGTAGTATCCCGGCTGGCACTGCTCACACTGAGGGCCCTCTGTGTGGTGCTGGCAACCCTGAAAGGGCAGAGCCTGGTTAAGACTGGGGCTCTGGAGGCCACAGATCCCTGAGGTAGGAAGAAGGGTGAAACTCACCTGGCAGTCACCTGTTTCGGGCTCACAGACCTCTGTGTGGCCGTGGCAGCTGCAGCGTTCACAGGTGCCCAGGTAGAGGCCGCTAGGCATGCGTGTGTAGCCTCTATCACAGTCCTGGGGGCAGAAAGATGGCAGTGGGAGGGGCTTCCTCAGCAGAACCCATTCTGGGCAGGGACCACAGGGTGGTGGGGCTGGGGTGGGCTTAGAGAGGTGGAAAGAGCTAACAGTGGAAGAGCCAGGGAGGACCACGGAGGGGGCTGGCTGGACAGGCGTGTGGGCCCAGGGCTCACCTGGCAGGATGGGCCACGGTAGCCGAGTGGGCAGGTGCAATGTTCCACTTCCACTGCAGGATCCTGACCAGTGTCCTCAGGCACAGCCATGTCCATGCTGATGCCAGAGACCCTGGGCATGACAAAACCCTATGAATGAGCCTCGCTCTACGTCAGGCATCTCTGGAATTCTATAGGCGATTACCTCACTCACCCTCCAACAGCTGTCATGATGCTACTGGGGCCCCATCCAGTTCCCTAACTAGGTGTCCACCCCCAGCTGCTGCGAGGATCATGATGAACAGCTTATACCTGTAACTTTCTCCAGAGAATGCACCTTCCTCAGCCAGAAAGGTCACAACACCCTGCTTCCTGTGGTGACCAGTGACAGACCGACCCAGGGCACAGAGGCCCCTTTGCCTCCAAGCAGGATGACTCTGCAGAGCTCCACAGGGATGAAGCTGAGGCTCTACCTGAAACTACTTCCTTGCCTGGCACTTCCCCTTCCTGTGTCCCTCCCTCCCCCAAGGTTCTCCCTGTGAATCATGTGCACCCCAATCCTCATCTGAAGCTTTGCTTCTAGGGAACCCGACCTGAGACAAGCCCTGTGAGGGAGGCAGTTATGATCTCCGTTTTACAGATGGGGAAAATGAAGCACAAGACGGCCACACAGCCTGCAAGAGGTAGAGCTGGCAGTCTGGCTGTACCGCATCATACCACTTGGACTGGAACCACCTGCCCAAGGCCCCTTCTGCCCTCCTGCCCCAGCCCCAGACACCTGCTCTCAGCTGGCCGCTGGCTGTAGGATGCCCGGATCAGGAGGCTATCAATGGCTGCCAGTGCCATCAGCAGGTGCTCCCGTGTGGCCGGCTGCCCATCAGGCCGCTGCCATGCTTGCTGCCAAGGCAAGGATACATGTACTACAATCCCTGACATCCTGGAATACTGACACCCCTGAGTAGGAGAAGCAGGAGGCCTGCCCCTCCCCCCGGAAGGCTCCTGGGACAGTGTCGCTCACCTCCCGGAAGGGTACAGTGAAGGTGCTGGGCTGGCCGGGGCTAGGCTCCCGGGAAGGGTGGTGCTCCAAGGTGATGCCATTGCCCTGCAGTACCACCAATGGCAGCCTGTGCAGGGGCGGGGAGCCAGGCTGGGGCTGCTGGGTCACTGTGAAGCGCAGCTCTCCTCCATAGGAGGTGACCTGGGGCACAGAGTGAACAGGCACTTAGCTGGGGTCCACACAGTCGGACCCTCCCACTGCTCCAGCCACCTCTTCTGCCTCTGTTTCCAAGCCTTTGCCTGTGTTCTTCTTGCTGCCCAGAATTCCTTTTCTTTTCCTACCCCCTGCCCACCTTGTCCCCCCGGAAGGACAAAGGGAGATTCCAGAAGTAGGGTTCAGATAGGAGTCTGTCGAAGGAGGAGAAGACCAGTTCTCCAGGTGCGGGGGATGAGATGCCCACGGTGGTCATGTGGGTGTCTGCAGCGGTGATCAGGCTGAACCCACTGGGTTCCTCGGAGGCCCCTTGCACCTGGGAGAGGAGAAGAGGGTGGGGTGGAGCTGTGGCCTGAGACTGGCCCTGAGCCCACCCAGTCCTGGGCTTGGCAGTCCCACCTGTTTCCCCACCCTACCGCCTCAAGTAGGTACCTGGGTGCGGCTCCAAGAGGAGCTGGTACACTGACGGCTGACGCCCATGCAGAAGCACTTGAGGCAGCCATCGGGGTTGTGGGCACTCAGGTGGAAAGAACCAGCAGCACACTCATTGCACAGGCGCCCCACCACGTTGTTCTGCAGGCACAGAGCTGGGAGCTGCAGGATGGCCCATGTGGGGGGG